CATCTATGCCTCTTTATAGCATTGAGATCGGGGTTCTCTTCTAGCGTAGTCAAATGAGTGCGTTCAATAACTACCGTTTTGGGATGATGGACCCGCATTCTTGGAGCGCGGCTGTGCAATTTGACGACCGAGCTGATGATTAAGATGCGTTCGATTGTTTCCAGTCTTGATCGATAGAGAAAAAGCTGACGTATTTGAGTGACTTATGGAAAACTCCAGTAACAATGATTAAATTATCTGAGCCCTAGCAGTCGTCATGAATGCGCACAAATGGCATTGTGGCACGTTCTAGTGCTACATCGTGTCTCTGGTCCAGTCGGCAGTGCTGGGTAGTTCTGCTACGACCAACTTAAAATCATTTTTAAGACGGGTGTCCTTGCAATCACCCACCGACATCCATTCTCATATGTATTGCCCTCGACGTTGATATAGGCCATAGGGAGCATAGATCACGTCTAAAATATGCTCAAAGATATAGTGTACAGATGGCCTGTCCAAACTCGACGGCTTTGCTTAGTAACACCACTGCCGTGTGAATATAATTAGTTGTTGTCCGGTTCCCCAGTGGTAGCACGTCTCTCTACTTAGGTCACAAATTGAAGTTATATCTGCGCGCGAACATAAGCGATTCATGATCGTTTCTGCTAACCTTTGACCAGGTTCTAATTGATAGACAAATGCCCAGCAGCTCAATGTTACTCCAGTCACCACACATGGATCTGGACCCAGACATTAGGTCATCGCAGGCATCAAGGCAACCATGCAGGGGACGGCGTTCCTGCAAAGGATCTTTGTTAGACCAATCATCATGCTTGTTCGCCGACTATTACCCTGACAAGTGCTGCAAGGGAACTTTGTGAAATTGTTAAGGCCTGCGCCGCCCCAGAGCTTTAAGTATGCTTCCCGAGATTTGCGGTCTTCACTTCTATTGGGCGCGCAACAAACATACCGCTCAAATGCGAGCGAAAACATTCAAATCCGGTTGACTTCTTTAAGCCTTAAGTCTCACTCCCGAAACGTCTAATTTGACGAGCCTCATGCATTCAGAGAAAGTGGCGCGGGAGACCAGGATACCTCATGATATCCACATCGAACCCGGCGATACTCGGGGCTGGGATCAATTCTATGGCCAAATTCGAGAACTTTACTGGGAACAGGACCTACCATTGGATACCGTCATCCAGATCTTCAAGTCTGACTATGGATTCCACGCTACGTCAGTTCTTATGACATACTACTTTGCTCTGTGTTGTGTTGCTCATTCGAAACAGAAAGAAACAATGGAAAAGTGCCCTAGAACGCTGGGATATGTTCAAGAACGTCAAGACAGATGAGATGAAGGCGATAGTGAGGGTCAAGGACCGGCGCGATTTTGAAGGCAAAGCAACCGAATTTTGGGTTCGCGACCGTTTGGTACCACAGGTGAAGATTGACCGCTTCAAGGCGCGTGTACGCCGGACAGGGCACACGCCAGCTGGTGATACTCTCTGTCCATTGTGTTGTGATAGTGTTCTTACTGGAAACAGAAGCCACGCCGTTAAGTGTTTGGTATTTCACGCCTCAAAATGGGCCATCTTTTGAAGTGTCACCTTCCAAGCCTACCTACCTCAGTCCCTTGAGAGCCTTGGCTGCAAATGATAGCTCCTCAGGCGGCGATACTTGCATGAGTCAAGATATTGAAGACACCGTGTCGCGGTCGATCCAAGACGCACTTTTCCATCCTAACAGTTCTCCGACTTCCGGCATATCTCAGGAACTTTTCAACATACATGGAAGAAAGCTAGAGGAGTACGAAGCGAAACTGGACGCACGCAAACCTTCGACACATATCAATGACGCATCACAATCTCAAACATCGTTTGCCGCACTTCTGAGCGCAGTAAAGAGAAACAATGTAGAAGGAATCAAAGAAGCAATTGAGAATGGGGCTCAAGTCAACTTCAGACGAGCAGACGGCACTACTGCGCTCAGTCTTGCAGTTCAGCTACGACATTATCCAGCAGTACACGCTCTCATTGATCAAGGAGCTAATTGCCAGCTGGCTGTTCTGGATTTTGTTCAAAGAGGTGATATTACAGGTTTAATGTACCTGCAAAGCCTCGGGGCATCGCTCTCCTCCGATGTCATAGGTGAACCACTACTCCAGCAAGCTGCAAAGTTTGAAAGAATTGATATGGCTCAGTACCTTCTTTCTCAAGGATTAGATGCAAATGAAGCCGACTCCGACGGAAGAGCAGCAATCTATTATGCATGTGAGCGTGGACACACTCCTATAGTCAGGATACTCCTCAACAGTGCTACAACCCAATGGTTCAGCGATTCCACGAATGGCCTCTTACATCTGGCCGCCTTGGGGAACAACAGTAACACAGCAGAATTGCTCCTCGAGCATGGTTATCCTATTGATGCCATTAATACTCAGGGATTTACCGCCTTGAATTACGCAGTTATGCAGGGTCATCTCCATATGACAGAAATTCTGCTGCGGAATGGAGCGGTAGTTGGACACAGTCTCCACAAAGCCGCGAAACAGGGCGACGTGCATCTTCTAAGGCTTCTCGTTGAGAAGAGCGACAATATTAACCTTTTGGACAGTGAAGGAATGGCCGCACTTGACTATGCTATCGACGCAGACAACCTACACGGGGTTTCTATACTCCTCTCTTACGGAGCCGAAACAAGGAGACCATGGCCTCAAGATAGACTAGGAATTTTACATAAGGCTGTTACGCAGTGTCCTCCACTCATAGTTACGGCTTTGGTTGTGTACGCTGGGGCTCCAATCAATGAGAAGGATGCAAGCGGTCAGACAGTCCTGGATCATGCCGTCCTAGCGGGAAATTGGCAGCTCGTGAAGCTCCTCGTCCGTCTTGGTGCCGATAGTAGCGGATACTATCACTTTGACGATCTTCCAATCAATTTATACAATGAAGGAGATCTTTGGATGACATCTTGACAGCAGTGTCGTGAGACCACTCGAAATAGCTTGTCGGAGGACTTGAATAGGACAAACCTACACCTTTGGTTGTTCATCGACTTTCCGAGATGAAGGCGTCGGAAAAGGAATTATTATGCTGAACATGGAATTCTATACTTAGCCACCGTACCAGACATGGTTTAACTTGCGCGTTGAAATGGTTGACAAGATCTTGCTTGAGCTAGATATGTTCATGTATGACTGATCCTTCGTCTCATACATGTTTCGATGACGATTTAGATCATTAAGATGATCTCGCACACATTGATTCTCTGCTCATCTTCCTCAAACTCCACTACCATTCGCTCTCTTCTGGGACTATGGATACATTCCGAATAAGTTAGAACCGGAAGGTCTGAGCTCGTGCCTTAGATTGCAACGAGATCGACAGAAGCATACGGACTACCGCTTCCTGCTGCCATGATATAAATATTAAGACCAGCGCTAGCCGCGGTGTCTGCTCGTACATAGAACTGCGACCGCGACGACCCTTCAGCCGAGCACTGCAGCGCCTCGCCCTCGTACGCAGGTGACGTACACGAGATGGGAGCCTGATTAGAATAAACGGTAGACACTGTATAGAGAGCATTCTCGGAGGTGGCAATGACATATAGTCCATCAGATACCATCAGGCGGTTGGTGTCAGCCTGGAGATAGAATTCGCCAGTGCTCCAGTACTGCGAAGAGGATGAGTCCCCGCTGTACAGATACAGCGCCCAGCCGTTACCAGACCGCCACTGAACGGTCTGATCGTTCGCATCTGACCTGGCGGAATTCGCGCCCTGAAGAGTGAATGTTGCAACGGCAGAAGGCAAGCTCCTAGTGGATGTGGCGACATTGCTTGAAGTGCTGCTGGTCGAGGTTGACGCAGGAGCATTGATGGAAGAAGTGATGGTCTCGCTGCTTGTAGAGATGACACTGGTTGGAGTGACGTCCGCAGTAGTGAACGAGCTAACGTCGAGTGAGCTTGACGGAGTGAAAACGGCTGTACTGAACAGGCTAGACTCGGGGAAGCTGCTTGATGATGCTTTTATATCGATCGTACTGCTGGGTGACGCGGACTCGGAAGCGGCCGAAAAGCTGGCTTGGGATGATGAGCTGGGCTCAGTTGTTGACGTTGATGTCGTTTCGGGAAAAGAAGTGGAAGAGACTGTGCTTTCTGATATTGAAGAAACAGAAGATGCAGGTGGTGATGATGGCTTGCATGGGCTAGCAAGACTGCTACCAAGCAGCGACGCGGTCACCACGAAGCTTTGAAACGAGTGTGAAAATCGCATGATTATGATTATTTGCCAAAATTGTTATTGAACGAAATCAATAGACCGAACGAATGTGTGTAGATATCAATATCAACAAGAACTTGCGACAACCAACAGAGAGAAGGAAAAGACCGGTTTCCCCAAACAGCAGCTTATTTCTAATTAAGAAGGTGGTTTTATCGTGAATCCCCCGAACACAATCCACAATATCCCAGCGCAATCTTACCGAAGCACAACCTTCAGGGCTACGTAATCCGGCCAGATTTTCAGTCAATAGTTTCAACACTAAGTTAGTCAAGACCGGGAACATCATCTATTAGCTAGCGCCGGCTCATCTGGGGCCACTCAGTCTACTAGAACTGTAGAGACCATCAAAATAGCGGCGATTGGTATAGCACGCAACAGCATCATCCTTCCAATCTATTTACGCCACTTTCACTTCGCGCTCCATATACGCTGGTGAGTAAAGCTTCCTGAGACGGGGGTCGCATGCGCCTTGGACTACTCGTGAGACCATGTCATTCAATAAAAGATTGCTACAATTATTCATCAATCACTCAAGAAGTGTTCTAGCTTGCATCATGGGCCACAAGTCTGACGAGGTTGGCTGCACGTTTTGTGCTCGTGGTCATTACTCTTCAACTGTGCAATACGGATCGTAAAAACATCGACAACGCCAAGTAAAACATCACCAAGATTGAGTACATATATGTTGCCACAGTGTCCGTTACGCCCCCGTACTCCTATTACTGTTCTGCATGTCCCTAATTTCTTCTGCGACGTTTACGCCCATTCTGCCCCTCGCCATCCTCGATCTTGTGGACTTTGTCATCTTTCACAGACAGAGCACTGCTGATCTGGTCGGCGATCAGTGCCATAAGGACCTGAGGCGTGGGACCGTTCCTCGTTCCCTCAAGCACAACAGTATCATGGAGCTGGCCCTCAGCACGAATGACGGTGCAGTCCACTCCAGCTTGCTGAAGCTTCTCACCGAACAACTTGCCCTCTGACTCGAGCATATCGGCTGAACTCGTAATGATGAGAGTCTTGGGGAACTGTTTAGCCGTCTTATCGGAGATGAATCGGGGGTTGGCCTCCTCGGACGTGCGGTCTCTTTCATTGGGGATATAAATCTTAACGGCGCGCCGGATGAGGGGCACCGTGAACAGTGGTCCGTCGAAGAAGCGAAATTCGCTAGCCGTCTCCTTGCCAGTCGCTTCAGCATCAGCCACAGGGCTGATGAAGACGTTCTGTTTGATATGAATTTTAGGTCGACGGGTGAAGGAGAGGATGTTCACTGCTGATCCGAGTTGACCTAGCAATGACATTAGTTCCTGTTATATAAAATGCAGAGCAAGTAAGTCCCATTACCACCAGCGCTGTCCCCAACAAGGGCAAAAGTATCTTGCTTGAGCCCCTTTCTCTTGCCGTTCTTCGAGATCCATTTCAAAACGGCATAGCACTCCTCTTGCTGCGTAGGATACACTGCCTCCGGTGCAAGTGTGTATTCCGGGAACACAACCGCAAAGCCGGTACGGAGAGCCAGGTCTCTGACGATACTGTCGTATGAATGAATTCTTGGCGACGTTAATAAGATGCCAATGAATTTCGGTCACATACTCACGTTCCGGCGATCCAACCGCCACCATGGACGAAGAATATTACGGGCAGTGGTTCCCTGCCATGTGTGATCGGCTTGTAGATCCATGTCGTAACACCGGCCTCAAAAGGGACAACAAAGCTCTCCCGCGTCACTCCGCCCAACTCTTTGTGTGCTTGCAATTGTTCATTCTCCTCGCGGAATTCTTCGATGGGAATATCCGCTGGGATAACTCCGACTGCCTCAAAGAGCGCCTCGCTCAGAGGATCAAGATAGGGTGTAGGCTCAGACATGATGACAAGAATATCTCGCTTTGGGTGCGAATATATTTCTCATTCTTTTAGAAAGAGCCATTGACGCCTTCAAGTCTTTTATACCTTACTTTGAGGCGGCCGACATCACGACAGATCTCGACTTACATGTCGTCTTACAGCAACATTCCACCTCACATCAGCAAATTAAAATCCTACTCGACATTTTCGATCCAATAAAAGCAGGGTTACATGCAGCACCTGGGCAGCCAATTCAGTAAATGTTCCAGAGCTGATTGGCAGGATGACGGGATACCCTAAGCCTTACCCGAGTACTTGCTGCCGGGCTTTCACCCTCTCGGCTTGATGACGCGCAGGGGTTCATGATGGGGTATTTGCTGACGCTCACAGGCACCTCAGCCCCGATGAGGAATCCGAGTTCATACAACGGCCGCTGTCAGCATCAGCTTTCTCACTAGGCCATAGCCTACAATGGTGGCCATCAGCTGAAAACATTACCACCACACCGATGTGATAGAGAGCGCAATGTTCGTGAGCATAGCCTCCAATTGAGACCCTGTGACCCCCGACTCCCCACACACGCAGTTGACCTTATGGCGAGAAAGACTGATATCACTCAGATGCATTCAGTGCCCGCACATCCTCAAGTCCAAAAATAGGCTCGATATACGAATCTCGCTCTCAAAGCGGCAGGCATTGATGTACCCTTCCAAATCCGAACCCAGGCCTGCAATGGGCGGCTCGACCGCGACCCAGCAAAATAAAGCATCACGATGCTATCATCTGAGGAATATGGAAAGCAATGACTGCTAGTAGGAGACTCAAGTCGTGATGACGTAATCTCCTGGCTCAACGATGGGAACGTTCAGGGAGCCATAATCCCCAACGCAGGAATAGGAATTCAGCTCAGTAAACGACTTTTCATAACGGATGCACTGATAGTTCCTCGGCAGGGCACACATAAGATGTCTCAAGCAGCGATCTGCTCACCGATAGGACCGCTCATGATGATTGCTCTTTAGTGAGAGACTCAAAACGGCTCGAGATTAGCATACAAATCAAGCAGGGAAAGAGCGACAGCATTTTGTCAGGGTGCATGGACGGATCAAATCTGGGCTTGCCGTCGTGATGCATCCTACACATACACAGACAGGCCATGGTCTTCTTGACAAACCGCCGACGGAAATGCATTCCCGTTGATGTCCTTGTTGAAACGCAGATAGCCCCCCAGAATAATGAAAGAGAGCGTCGAAGCACTTGACTACTGGCACGTGCAAACATTCTGCCAGTGATTCCTCGTCCATTGACGTCTAGCATCGTGCTCAAAACTTCCTCTCAAGCAATACAGCTCTGTAGTGATGTATGACGCAAACATCAGGTCGATCGCCTCATACCAGGCAATATAGCTGCTAAACATCATGTGTTTCGGCCTCAGAGTGTCACAACAGCCCAAGAGAACCAGTCACGACGACCGCTGAACCAGAAACTCCAATGTTTAAGGGGGATGTGAGAAGATCATGGGGGATTCTCGACAGGAGCAAGAATTGGTCCTCTGGAGGATTTCCCTCTCGCTACCCGAAAATCGTAGCCGCTTGGCGCTGTTTTGAGCAGACCTCAGAGTCCTGGTTTCAGCGCCGACAGGGATCATAGGGATCATGCTCCAGAATCACGAGAAGGCCACCGTCGGAGATCGGCAAGGCGCCTCTTTGCGAAAGGGGAAGCGAAGCCCCAGCGGCAACCAGGGGCCGCTGCTCGTCCGATGGGCAAGACATCTCGGTCCTGCATTCCGGAGTGCGGATTCCCGTTCGTCTCGACATTGGATGCCTCTCTTCTTGCTCTTCAGTGTGGGGAAGACCTAGGAACAGGCCGAATTTACCACTAATGAACCCCTGTTCGCGATGCGGCTCCGCCAAGATTTGGCGCCGCTTGGCAGTGTAACGAGTTCGGCCTTCGTGTGCGGCGCCTTACCAAGATGCGGCCAGTCTGCGGCATCGCCAAGACTATTCTCTGCTCGATTTCTTCTTTTCTTGGTGTTCCCTGACCACAAGTTAGCGATGTACGGATCCGCTGAAACAACGAGGAGGACGAGCGAAGCTTGACTGCTTGCGAGCAGCATCTGGAGGCGAGCGAAAAGGCTGGGCATTTTATTCTGGAACCGCACAGAATGAAAGGCCTCTCGTACTCGTAGCGATGGAGCTGGCTAGGATCGTGAGTTACCCGCTAAATATCAACAATTTCAAGTGACGAAAGGAGCGTCTCCATCCCCATTGGAGCCCTACATCCCCACGATGTCCACGAACGGTCATCGTATGGTGCGGTTTCGCGGCCAGCCAGTGGATTGGCCATTCCCCTTCGCTTCACCTGTCGTCTCGTCTTCCAAACCCAGTGGATTCAGCCAAGATCTTGGCTCACGGGTGAGGCGCTCGCGCGATGAACCCAGGTTCTAGAGCAATTAGCAGCCTCAATGCCATGCCATGCCGGCTGCACCCCAATGGGTGATTTGGCTGCAGATGTCAACCCGGGACTCGGGCCTCCAGCAACCAGATCGTCTCGTTATAAGATCGACGCATATCCGCGTCCGTAAGATATGTCTCTTCTCCTTCTTTCTCCAGCCGCATTCGCTTCTCACGCATCTCCTTCAAACGTCCTCTTCTGTTTCCTCTCATTCATTCCTTACAGCTGTGCTGTTGTTGATTCTACGGACAGGTCCGATTCATTCTCTTTGCTCTCTTCTCTCCTTTCGAGCCAGCTTCAAGACCATCCGTCTACATCAACCTCTCTTTCTTCCCAATACTCATCAACATGAAGTTCTCTCTTCTCATCACCAGCAGCCTGGCTGCATTCGCCGCCGCCGCCCCGGTCAACAAGCGTGCCGTCTTCTCCACGCAGACCTACGACGACCTGTCCATCAGCGGCGGCGTCGCCGGCAATGCCCAGCAGGAGGCCCTCGACAAGCTGGCCGGTCTGCCCGACGACCTGACCACCGTCGAGGAGGCCGACCTGGACTTCCTCAACAGCGTCAATCAGATCGCCAACGACGCCGAGACTGACGCCTTCAACCCAGCCATTGAGGCCGCTGATGGCGAGGAGGCTGATGCTCTTCAGGTAAGCTTATCTAAGCGTTTCCCCCAACGTCTATGAGAGCAAGGCTAACAGGCACAACAGCGTGGCAAGATCAAGAACAAGGTTCTGAAGCTCACCGCCACCATTCTGAAGCTCCAGGCGCAGCAAGCGCAGGGCCAGGACGTCGCCGAGAAGCTTGCCGCTGAGCAGAAGAAGCTGGACAATAACATTGCCCAGGATGAGGACGAGGCCGGCCTGGAGTCAATTGCTCTGCAGTTCGACGCCACCACCGACTAAAGGGGGAGAAAGGACCCAAGAGGGAGTCTATGGACGAGGAGGAGGAGTCACCGGGAATCACCGAGAGAGCACGAGCTACGAATGCGAGCATCTGAATGATGTGGATCGGCATTAATGAGGATGAACGAGTGCCAGGGGCGTCTCGAAGACGGCCCTGGGCAGAGCATTGTAACTATGGACTTTGAATGAGATGATGATACGGTCCACCACCTATCCAATATGCTTTCATGCGTGAACACTGGACATCATAATGTCCAAATGCGACGAAGCCTAACCCAAGCGGAGCAAATGAGGTAACCTGTCTGCTTTCTCCAAACTAAGGAGTGATGTGCCTCGTCTTCTACCACGAACTCACCTATTGCAAGTCAAGCTACGGGTCTACGTCCTGTCTTATGGCAACCTGGTTGTACCGAGAGCCTGTACAAATTGATCGGCCAGGTACCCAGATCGCCTCCCTTTCATCTGTTGATGCAGAGCCTAGAGCTATACCTTTTATAATACGCAACACAGCTTCAATCTAAGTCGTTCCTATACTACTCAGCTGCGAACATATACCATACATCATGCTGTCTTAGATGTTGAAGATCCGAGAACCGCCTAGATATGAGACAGCTAAGTTCAATTTGCAAGTCTTCTTTGGGGCCTTGTTTTGGTGGCCCCTTTGGATCAGAGGATATCCAATGCATTAGCTTGTCTCCTACAATGGTGCTTGTAACGTCACCAATTGATCCATCGGGTTCCTAAGACGCGAATCAGTGCGGTCTATCGAATTCAACATACCGTGAAGGTCTCCATGAACAGGGAAATCAGTACTCCTCATTCCAAGGAACAAGAACCATAAAAGAATTCAACAACATTAAACCCGGACAGGATTACGGCAGGTACAGGCCAGCCGAGCAGAAAATCACAGATAAAGCAGAAGAACAAGCATATCAAAAACAACGACGTGAATTCAACTATCAAGCTACTAGGTGTAGCGTCCGAGTGCGATTGATATGCACCCTTCATCAGATGTGTGTAAGGAAAAAGCAAAAGGACCGTGGTGAAGTGCTTCAGCAGATGGATGTGCCATGCAAGATCACCTCCTCCCAACTCGCCAAGGTCATCAGATCATAGACAGCAACGAACGGAACAACCAAGCACAGCTGCCGAACGCTCGAAACCGCTTCATGAGTGTAGTAACTGCCGTTGCAACGCATGACATGCTCTAACGCAAGAAACCTTGGCCATGATGACGCGGAATGCCGAAGACGGAACCAAATCGGAGAGGAAGTATGAGGCTTCCAGAGCTGTAGACGGTACGGAAAAGAGATGTCGTTATCAAAGGATCGTGTGAAAAGAAAGAAATCGTACTCCAACATCACGACTTTTCCAGCCGGAACGCCCACACCTAAACGCCGGGACGATGGCTAAGCATGGTTTGTAAGACGTGGCGAATTACTGCTTCTCGAAAATTAGTTTTCTAACTAACAAAGGTGGTTGAGCAAGATAGGGATTCTTACCTGCATTCCGCCAGGGGGAGGACCCTGGGGAGGGTTACCACCGAAGTGGTGAGGACCATAGGGGCCCGGACCGCCGTGAGGGGGCATGCCACCGCCCATGTAGTGGGGAGGGGGAGGAGCAGGACGGTAGGGGGTACCAACGCCAGAGTTGTTCTGAGAACGGCCCCAGGACAGACGAACACGGCTGTTTCCGATAGGATAGCCCTGCATTTGATTAATAGCCATCTCCGCAGCATGGCGATGCACGAATTGAACGAAGCCGCAGCCTTTGCCGGGAGGAATCTTCACGTATGTGATCTCTCCGAAACCCTGGAAGAAAGAACGGAGCTCATCCTCAGTAACATAACCAGAGAGGCCGCCGACGAACACAGTAGTGTTATTAGGGTCAGTGAACTGGTTCATAGGCTGCATCGGGTTGAAGTTTTGCTGATAGTAGGGCTGCATGCCCCAGTTCATGCCTCCTTGTTGCATCGGCGGCTGCTGCATCATTCCAGGGCCGCCATGGTTTCCTTGACCATACTGGTGGCTCCTAAGGAAGGTAACTTAGTACAGTGATACTCAAAAGTCACCAATGACGTGGCGAAGAGAGAAACGAACCTAGTTTTTGGAGTCGCGGTGGAGATCCGCATCGGGCGATTACCACAGTACACGCCCTGCATCTCGACAAGGGCGCGTTGCTGATCGCCTTCCTCGGCGAAGCGAACGAAGCCGTAGCCTCGCGACTGACCCGTGACTGCATCTGTCATTATCTTGGCAGACTTGCAGGAAGGGAATCGAGCCTGGAAGAGGGACACGAGAACAAACTCGTTGACCTCAGGGCCCAAGTCACCGACGAAGATGGAAAACTCGGGGCCGCGATCGTCACTTTGGGAGGTTAGCTATCTTCTAAGCGTCAATGGTGAAGAGAGCATGACTCACCGACGGTCGACGAGACCACCACCAGAAGCCCAGTTGAGCTTAAAGACGCGGCCGGAGTTCGGGACAGGAGTGCCGTTCAGAGCCAAGGCTTTAGTAGCAGCATCAGCGGTAGGGAACTCCACGAAGCAGTAGCCGGCGTTTCTAAGAGAGCCAGCAAGGTGGCCTACTATTAGTGAAGTGAACATCTTATAATCCAATAATATGAAACTCAAAGGTGAAATGTAAATAGCTAAGAAAAGGTGAGAAAGACTTACCCAGAGTTGCGATCTCTGATGACCTTCACATTTACAGTCTCCCCGGCGACGGTAGAGAAGACATTCTTGATGAAATTCTCGTCCATCCAGGGCTCAAGTTCGCCCATCCTATACGCAACCATGTTAGGAAAAGTTCAAAAGGGTTGGAAGGAATTATACTGACCAAAGGGTCTTGGCAGCTTCACCACCACCAGCCATAGCGGGCGGGGGAGGGAAGTTACCCTCAAGGGAAGAGCCGTTGAGGGAAGGGGCACCCTCCGGGATACCGCCATTGCTGGGTTGTCCGGTGAATGAAGACATGGCTGGTAGTAGTCAGTAAATGGTCTTCAAAGATCATAGATAATAAGCCTCCGGTGATGAGGGGATGCCAGGAAAAGATGTGAGAAGACCCCGTGGATCTATAGGGCCTGGAAGCCTCAGACCCTATAGAAAATGCCCAGACCAAGACGATAATAGACCATCAAAGACTGAAATCAGGCCGAATGAACGTAGAGACCTCTAGTACTTCCAAGGGGTGAAAAGATGATGCCAAAGTCTCCTAGAGGCTTCAAAGGTAGTAGAGGTGGTATAACGGGTTTCAGGGCACGGATTTGGCCAAAAAATACTGCCGAGGCTTCAGCAAGCTCGCATGACGGCCAGAGCAGCTTTTGAGCTTCTCCCAAGATCTCGGGGCACGGAACAGCCGAGATGAAGAAAACAAAGGCCAGACGAGGGAACGGCTATCAGAGGCTCATAGAGGGCGGAGCAGGGGAAGGAGCGGCTAACAGGAAGTGGAGAACGGAATAAACGGTAATGATGAGTAGTAACCAAGCTGACAGCAGCGGGTATTCCAGGTATAATCAGGGAGTCACAAGGGGTAGATAGGTCAACAGACTTCCCGATGCTCACAACACTGTCAGGAGCTGGCCGTGAAACACATGAAGATGACATGAGGATTCTGCGAGCTCAGAAGGGCTGTGATGGGAGGAGTATGGGAGGGTCTCAGGAATTTCCGGAGCTCTCCGGAGCTCTCAGATGCTCGACAAAGGTGAGGTGACGCCAAAAGCGGCTGAAATGATGATGGGACATGATAATCAGGTGAACAGTGAAGACCTCAAGGCAAATGACGACCCGTAGAGGTGAGAGGGGCTCTGTGTGAGGGCTTGAAGATGCTCAAAAGGCTTCCGAGGCCACGGCTTACGTGATCCCTCGGGGATGGAAAAACCCCCCTCAGGTCAAGCAGGGAAGATGTGTGCAATAAGGACATTCGAAAGGGGTTCATGATGCTACGTACCTTCCAGATTATCGTTCGTGATGATAATTCGTTGAAGTAGAGTGCTGGATGATGTCAGTGATCGCTCGACGAAGACTCAGACGCCCGGAGGCTATGATTTTTGAGGCGAGAGACGCGAGATGTGAGGAAAATTCAGGCAAACGAGAGGAAGCGAGGAAGAAGTGTATGAAGCTGGAGATCAAGCTCTTTTGACGAGAACGCGATGATTATGGCTTGCTGGGGTCGATGCTCTCAGTGCAAAGGGCTGGGGGCCTGAAGGTCTCAGGGTATTTTGGGTATTTTCCTGAGCCCGCTTCATATACTGACAGCGAGAAGATGAGGCAAGAACGCCAGAGAGGCAGACGGTAGCTAGATCAAAGGAGAGGGTGCAAGTACGTTTGCTCTAGAGCACGAAGGTGAAGGGATTTTGTGGGCGAAGATGATCGTGGTGTTCTGTTTCTAGAGAGAGATGGTGTAGGAAGAGAAAACAAAGCAGTTTTGAGCTCGAGATGCAAATCGAGGATGGGCAAAAAGGAAACAGAATGAGCTCCAAGCTTTAGGGTGCAGATGTAGCAGTGGACAGCTTAGGGGGGCAGGAGCAGCTGCATGCGGGTCGGTCGACACAGGCGGAACCAGGCGGACCCTTCAGGAAATCTACAGCAGCCACCTGGCCTCTCACAGGGCATCCCACAGAAAGGTCCTTTGATCCAAAGAAGCGAATGCACTGGCTAGACTTGAGAGTGTGCCAGTGATGGAGTAAGGCATTTGGAGAAATAGGGGTGTAAGGGGTATGTGGACATGTAAAGGGGTCGGCTCACCAGATAATAGGACCTAATTTCAAGGGATTCAACACCTAAGGCCCACGATACACGATGACGCCGAATTGCCCAAGAGGACTTGACCGAAAAGTATATCCAGCGCCTGGAATCAGAGACTTTTGGACGCGTATACGCCCCACGCCTTGGAAATCAGAAGAGGATCCTAGGAACCTTGCCAAAGATTGCGGAGGAGATCAAGGCTATCTGCTTGATGTCTCGAGGAAGGACTGTACGAAGGGAAGCGTGCAAGATTAGGGTGAGCAATCTATTGTGTCGAAGCCTGTTGTACGATGTACAGACTGAACCTGATGGAATTCGACAAATGAAGAGGGATGCCACACCAAAGAAGGGCAATAATACACCGACTAAGTCGTAAGACGATGCTCGAGAATTGTGCTGAAAAGATCAGGACTTGGGGAGCGAATAGCCTGGAAGACGTCAGTAACTCTTATACATAATACGACTTGCAACGAAGTGCCCCGCAGCCTCTGGCGGTGATGGTCATGGCTATATCCAGAAGCAAACGAGCAAGAAGCTGCTCGCCAGCCTTCATGGACGATCCTGGACACTGGAGACTCCAAGGAGTCGGTGATGGTCCATATGATATAGACCTAAGCCAGGCAGTGTTTGTATTTACATGGCCTTCGATACAATGGGTACTTCTGCGAGAAACACTGGAGCCCCTGATGGTGATGATTGAAGGCAATAAGATCCAGGAGAGACTCGTCAACAGGTTGACAAGAGCTCAGTTCACGGCATCCCTTGACGCCCCTAGGAACAGGAATAGTTCGGAGCAGTGAGCTATTACCCCCACGGTATGAACGTGGCCTATGGAATCCAAAATGCCTGTCACAAACAGCAGTTCGAAGAGCCATCTAGCCTCAGTCGACATGGTTGCCAGCGAGATGAAGACGAAGATCATCAGGTGGTTCAAGAACCCAATTCGCGGTATCTCCAGACCGGTCGGGAAACTGGACAGGCTCCAACAAAATGATAATGGCCATGAAGCAGGAAACTACGCCACTGAGTATGATTAACGCAGCTCCGGAGTCGACACAGAAGCGGTCGCTTAGGATAGCAGGAGGGTACCATCTGAGTGGGGCCGATGACCATTTCTGGTCTCCAAAAGTCTGACAGAACCCTGGGTACACTGGACAGTGGTCATTGTCTAGGAATCCGGGGCCAAGACAAATAAGCTAGCGCGTTGAATGAAGAGATGCGCTCTAGAGCCAGGTTCCAGCAGGTATGTCTCCCAAGTGCCTTCGTCCATCTCACGACGATTTATGGTCATGATCGAGCCTCTGACATTCTTGAAAAGATTGTAGCGAAACAGCTCCTATGCTTCGAGAACAGGCTGCCCCAATGTCTGCTTTCAAAACACCGATTCCATACGGCGAGTTATTGACCGGCGTCTGATAGCGGCTGAAATCCTCGAAAATAATCAGGAGACGAGGTATCGGAGCCACAGTAGTGAGATGAGCACGATGTTCTTCGGGGCCGTTTAGAACGATGATGTGTGTATACCGTCACGCTTGAACAACGATGGAGCTTCGAGCCATATCCTCATGGCGAGACCCCGAATTATTGCAGGAGCGAAATCCAAAGCAGCTGGTGAAGAGTGGTGCTTGAAACCGAGTGCAGCAGTCAGAGACTGTTGTCCGACTCTTCTCGACTGCATCATCTTCGTCGATCCCGCTTTGGTTGCTTTTGGAGATTTCCGACCCTTGTGTGAAAAAAAACCAGGACGGCAGAATGAAGATCTTCTCCGGATGTATCTTAACGGCAGTAGGCATTCTAGACTCCGGAACTGTGCATCATTGTTTCGAAAATCATCTCCAGGGGCGTGAAATGTTGCTGGCCGTTTAGCGAAGATGTATCGGATGTACCCTTCTCGAACTTCTTGACTTCCGTGTCCGGACACCCAAAAGGTGGGTTATTGCAAGTAGGGTGTATGCATCTTCTTGCCATCATACGTGCCCATATTCCCAACCCCAAACAACCCTACCAAGCTGATGGCTGATTGCTAATGTGCGTCACTCTGCAGATACTGTTCCGAAGACCATTGGCCAATCTGAAGAGAGAACGAGGAGCAAGAGACAAGTCTGAATAATCTGAAGAGCTAGGCGCCGCGCTTAGAGGCAGACCACGGATGGTTTTGCCGTTGGAATCCACTCTCAGATATCTCTGCAATCTTGACCCGTCAAACTACTCCCGAAGCAACTCAACCGGTGCAGGTCAGGTTGAGAATAACAGGGGTCCATTGGCCAGGAGAGGGTTGTGGCCGCATGGTGAAAATGTCGATTTGGAATAGCCCGAGAAGGAGCGCGACCTCGTTTTGAACAGCCTCCCGAAACACCATATCAAACTAGGCGACGACACCAAACCGGGAGGCCAAGAGCTGAAAAGCATACAAGACCGTTCGCGAAGGAACAGAACGCCATCATTCAAGTACAGGGCGGTAGCATCACCGCACACGACAGCAGCAAGCCTTCCGCACACCAGCTAGAGGAAACCAACATCGGATCTTGATGATAGAGGCGGAGCGCGCGGAGGTTCCCATCAGACAGTCAATATAGGTAGAAAAGCTGCCCAATGATTGTGCAGAGCCACTGTCAAAGAGACGACCGAGTCGAGCAGAGTATTTCCCGATTCGGGAACAAAGCTGTGCCTGAACGTGTGTCCCCTCATTCTGTAGCACGAATGATGCGGTTTCCATATCGAGTGAGTCCAACAATCAGGGGACGAAAAGATGATGTGGTCGCAGCGCTTTTATTCGACGTTGACTCGTTGACTTCCATCCCTCACACCCAGAATGGGAGACATCGACCATATGGATCATTTGTTGGATCATCTTGCAAGCCTTAATCCGCCATCATCGTCGGCGATACCGTGTTCTAAGTCTCCGCGTACCCCCAGGTCGATAACAGATTTGAACTCTCGTGGTTGCATTCCCCAACCGAACAGCCACCTCCACAGACCAACACCATCAGGGACATGACTCCCAAGTTCAATTGGCAAGAATCCCTCGAAACAAGGTGGTTGTGCGGCATGTTGTCGAGAGGACCGTGTGGCCAGGCGGACCACGAACAAGAGCAGAGGGACACCGGTAGCTGGGAGCAGCCGAGCACTCGAGAATGGGAGGAATCGGTTCGGACCATTGTCGCAATTATACAGCTCAAGTCCACGACCAATTACCATGTGATAGCTCCGCTGTCGTGAAGCGATTCGCA